CTTCCCTCCTGGAGCACAAGTAAGAACCAGATATGAAGGAATTCGTTGTGTGATGGCATCAGAGCCCAGAACTCAGTATATGGTTGAAGAATAGACTGACACCTAATGAGAACTGCCAAAATTCCATTCAGGATAAGTCCTGCTCTCATGCATGCACGTGTGTGTACATATTATCTTGCTCTCTTATGTGTGGATTTTCCCATTCAGACGTTTTCCTGCCAGCTTCTGACCTAGCTGTTGTTCTGACCTGCTTCCCACAGGCGATGACCCTAGCCAAAAACATCCGTGACCAGGAGCGTGGGGGCCGAGCACATGTGGGTGTGGTGGATGGTGAGAATGAATCTGCCTCTCCTGGGCTCATGAAGGTCATGACCTACATACTGGGGGAGAAGAGAGACATCCAACCGGCCATCCCCGACTCCGTGGTGGACCAGAAACTCAAATCTGCTCTTAAGCTCTATCAGTGAGTGAATTTTTCCTGTACAGTGGCAGAGACCACGAAGGTCAGAGAAAGTTGTGGAGGGAGCAGATACAGAAGGCAGGGACAAACCATTCTTGTGCAAAGGGGATGAGAGGAGGAGTGTAGGGAGGCCTCCCGCAAATTAATCACTCTGGAGAGTAGTCAAGAAACCAAGGGTTTGTGTGAAACTTTTTTACCCATTTATTCTGCCATCACAACAAATGATGCAGCTGTGAATACTTGCACCAGGCTCCTTCATGGGAGCAAATCTGTTTGAGGCTTGTAGGTTCAGTTTTGAGTTAACCCAGAATAACCTGGCAAGAACTGTGATAACAGGAAAAAATGCGATAGCAGAAGATGTACCGTAAATAGTACATGAAACAGACAAACAGACAGCCTTCTTATAAGGAAGAGGGCTTTACAGATGGACTCCTTGCATTTTGACAGATGTCATTCTTAATTATTTCTAACAACAGGGCTAGACAACTTGCAGTCCTTTATATGTTGTTGGATTGTGACCCATCATCTCTCACCGTTGGCTCTTTTGGCTATAAGGTTTATGAGACTTGCTGTCTGACAGCAAGAAGAAGAACCACGTTCTGCCACTTCTGTGGCAATGAATACTGGCCATTCCAGTGTCATGGGGGCTATGAATCCACTCCAGGTTTTAGCTGAAAATTTAAAGGAGGTATCCAAGGCATTTAATTTATTTTAGGCAAAGGGTTCTCCTGCAGAGTTCAGGCAAAACACTGGAACAGATTTATCATCCCTAAGACCTCACGGTGACAGCACTCCACTGCCAGTGACCTACAACAGCGAACATAAAGAAATCCTGTTGTCCTAGTCACATCTTTTGGGGGGAAAACAGTGAAAACATTCAAAGGCAGTTTGGGATACAAGTGAAGTGCAGACTTCATCCATCACATATCACAGGAGTGCTGAGTAAAAAGAACCATGGACAATTTTTATTTGCTATTTCCCCACTTCATCCTGAACAGGGAAAGTCTCTGAATTCTAAGAGAGCTGAATTCTGTAAGGTTCTGGACTGTGTGTATGTTTGAAGAAGTCCAATCCTGATTTAAATTTTCAAAATCATTACTTTAATGCAGAGCTGGGAGCAGTTACTTTTGGGGACTACAGTTTAAAGAATCCTGTCATTTTAGGAAATGTAGACCAATAATGTGACTCTCGACCGGGTTCTAATGTGATGCATGCATGCAACACATTGATTAGCTGACTTTCCGACATCTCCTGGTTCTCTCTCCCTCTCTCAGTGTATCTGATGCAGAAGGAAACCTCCTCATCCAGGAGGTTGCTATCCGGCCCCTTACCCAGGACCTCCTGAAGCATGAGGTAAGTGCTTTCCTTGTTGCATCTGGCTGCACTGTCACAAGCCAGGGGAGCAGATTTTTTAACAGATTCGTTTTGGGAATCACAAGTCACATTTTGCCGCCTAAGGCGGAACAGCAACCAGCCAGACTGTTTTGGCGCATGAGGCAGATGAATCACATGATTACCTCTCTCTGTCTGTGCAGGTAAAGATACAATTAAAATATTAATAAACAATTTGCTTTCATGACCGCTTATACCTTATTTCCAGAGATGGCCACCTTACTCTGCCTTGTGGTACAATTGGGCCTGAAGTCCTTAAGACCAGGTGTGAAGAAAATATGACCCTCCATTTTTTTTCTTTTGTTTGGAGGGGAGTGTTATCTCCCATTAGTTTTGTGCAGCATAATGTGTAATGATGCAGAATCATGAGTGTTGCTGCTCAGAAATGTCTGGATGGCTACAACTGGTTGCCTGTATTGTAAGAAGAAGTCAGGCGATGATGGCTGTAGGCAGCAATTGTCTTGTCCCTCTCAGTTGCTTCCAAATGAAGACCTCACCTACATGCTGTTTTGCCTCCTGTCAGGACTGCTACATTTTGGACCAGGGTGGCATTAAGATCTTTGTGTGGAAAGGCAAGCTTGCCAGCAAGGAAGAGAAGCAGGAAGCCATGTCGCGGGCCTTGGTGAGTGAGAGTAAGGAAAAATGCGAATGGATCTGCTGGGAGGTTGCACCTGGGAAGTTGGGTTTCCCCGGGTTCATTCATTTCAACCAACCACACAGAAGACAGGACAAGAAATCAGCCTTATTTGCTGCTTGTTAACTGTTTGAATTCCCTCTTCCCCGCACCTGGTGCCTGGGTCAGCTTGTTCACCTCCCTCCCTCCCTCCCTCCCTCCCTCCCTCCCTCCCT